CTCTCTGGACCGCAGGCCGACGTTCTAACTGCTGAGCCAAACCGGCCAGGGCTAAACTATTCTCTCTTTATTTGGATGAATTTAAAACTATCATTTGGCATTTTTATCAAACTAAAATATACCTTCAATATGTTTGGGGAGCACAGATAGTTGCAATATGTATAAATATATATAAGTTTCCTAATGTCTGCATGTTAATTTGAACATATTTCAATGTATACAACATTAGTTTCACTTTGTCCATTTTTACATTTTTATTATAATTGGTGATCTATTACTTCTCATTCTTAACCTCTCAAACCCATGTTTTAGTGAAAGGTACTTTAACCAGACAACTTAGATCAAAACAGATCAATTTTGAATGAATGAGGGATGTGAAGAAGCAATGATATAAATAGTAGCACAAATTTGAATATATCTTTTTAAACTCCATGTCATTTAATTCATAAAACATAATTAAAGCTTTTAAATTATTTTTTCTATGTTCAATTTTAGATTATGTAATTTTTATTTTATTTTCCTTTTTTTTTTATAATTACTATGCTTGAGGTGCTTCACTCTGGCTTTAAAATATTAACTTGATACTGTAATTTTCTATTTTGCATAGTCTCCCTTTTATAAATATTCTCATAAAGTTTTAATAATAACAAAACAATACAAACTATGGGAACTTACCTATTAGACTATTATTTTTCTTTCCTTTTAGCAATTTTCTTTTCTTTCTAGCAGGATAACAGAATTTTTTGAAATAAAATATTTAAATTAAAAAAAAGGGCAAGAAAAAAATGGAATCATTTAAATTACACTATTTGGATATTTTGTTCTAAAGATTTAACTTCTAAGTTCAAGTTAACAGGAGTCAAAGTATTATCACCATTCGTGGACAAATTCTAGTTCATGACAACAAAATAATCTAAATGAATGTATAATATAAAAATCATAAATAATGTTTGTATTCACTATAAAATTAACTACTGAAAAAAGTGACAAGGTTTAGGGATGTTTTCCCCCTTTTTTAAACAGTGTACAAACAATATTGGCAAATACCATTTTATTTATAAAAAACCCTAACAGACATTTATTTTAAAACTCTTTTATAATGAAAATAGTAGTTTTAATAACCTGTTGGTCTTAACAGAATATTGCTTGAAGTAGCTACAACTTTGGGATTTATAATAGCTCTAAAACTCAATACAAATGTGAATAATGATTTTATTTCATTCAAAATGATTTTAGTGATTTTCACTTTTAATCTAAATTTTACCAAATTATAATCACGGATACCATATTGCTAAAAATTATTCATATTTGCTTACTGGAATTATATTAATGCTTTATGTTCTTTGTTCACTTATACTTGAAAACCACATTTGAGGAATAAATCGATATTAGCATACAGATAGAACTGAATTATAATGTCAATAGTGATTGACAAAGTTGATATGTTGCTGGTTGCCTCATTTTAGATTAGTTCTTTTTTGTTCTCAGACTCAGAAAATGCAAAATAGCATTTCCATTTTCCAAGTCATTTAAAATGAGAAGAAAGAAATAATCTAAAGGAAAATAATAAAAACTCTTTGCAGCTAGGATGTGATTGACATACAGCTAAAGTATGTTTCAGTTGTAAAGTCAGGCCAGTATCAATAAAACTGTGTTGACTCAGTTGGTATCCTCAGGCTTCTTTTGCCCACATATAATTGATTTTAAAGCTATGACTACAAAAGAAAAAAATAACACTTTATTATGTCTATATGGATTTCCACTGACATAGCCCTATTGTTTTATTTGAAATGTATTTGGAAGGAAATGAAAATGTTACCTAAAGCAAGTATAACTAATTTTCTTAAGCATTCATCATAATAGAAAATAAACTTTGAAGCTTTGTATATCATTTTAATATAGAAAAATAATATATATGTATGTACATGTGTAATGAAATGATAAATAATATATTACAAAAATGCAATGTTAGCCAAATGCCGTTTGAGATGATAGAAAATGAATTATAAATATTTATAAAAGGAGGGAGAATGGAAAAGAGGGGAGAATTAAAAAGGGAGAAGGGATCTGACCTACATGTAGAATATAAAAATAATCTGTGTATAGGACTGTTATATTGAAGAGGTTAAAGAAATTTAAATTCAGAATAGTTTGAACAAAATATAAAACCATGTATACATAACTAAGCGCCTATATATTTGGTGAAAGACATGACTTTAAAACAATATGTCAAGTTTTTATTTAAAACATGACTAGATGTATGATTTTTTTTTATCCTCACCCAAGGACATTTTTTCCATTTTTGTTGTTGTTGTTCAGATAGAGTGGGAGGGAGAGAGAGGAAAAGAGAGAGAGAGAGAGAAACATCGATGTGAGAGAGACATATCGACTGGCTGCCACCCACAGAACCCTAACCAGAGCCAGGGACAAACTGCAACTGAGGTACGTGCCTTTAGCGGGAACTGAACCCGGGCCTCTCTGGACCGCAGGCCGATGCTCTAACAGCTGTGCCAAACCAGCCAGGGCAGGTGTATGATTTTTTTAAAAATATTTTTGTTATATTTCTGAGTTACAAAAGGGAAAAAGTATAGCTTTATCAGTTCAAAGCACTTCATAAACTACCTGTGCTGATATTTTTGTGTGAAAAAGTATTTAAAAAATCACAAATTAATCTTTCATTATTATTCTCAATACACTATGTTAAACACCAAAATAATGTATCACAAAATAAAGGCATAAAAGCAAAACACCCTGGCTTTTTCTCTCCTTTTTACTTTCTACCATCAGAGGCTTCCTGAACATTTGTGTCACCGCAGAGGCAGGCGCCTCAAGAAAGTGACTGATGATAGCAGCCACTGTCCTTGACAAATTTTGATCCCCACCGGAAACTTGGCATCCATAATGTGCATGAAATACTCAGTTGGTCCTCGATGATTTAGTATCCCAAATCCTTTGCTCCACAATTTCTATTTAGAAAAATCTAACTGTCATGTTGGAAAGGATGCAATTATTTCACTTTTTTTCTTTTCATTATCAGCAAGTTTAAAAGTAACCTTACAGTGAAAGTTATGTTGTAATTAGTATTGTTTCCTAATTAAAAAGAGAATGGCATACCACTTGCTTCCTGTAAATAGTAAGAGGGTAACACCATCTTCGAACTAGAAAAAGTTCATTTCCTGCTTCAAATCATAACACATGTGATATATAAAGTTCTTTGTACATCAAGTCAGAGTGTAATACAAAATTTAAAATACATTTTGCTAATTTATGTTCTCATATTTTCATTTGTTAATATTTACCAAATGCCATCTTCAACTAGTTTAAGATGCCAAATCAATATAATTAAGTGATTTTGCCCTGGTCTGTTTTGCTCAGTGGTTAGAGCCTCAGCCCTCAGACCAAAGGACTGCGAGTTTGACTCCCAGTTAAGGGCATATGTCTGGGTTGACGGTTTGGTCCCAGGCTGGTGAGGGAAGCAAATAATCAATGTCTTTCTCAATATCCTCGAGTGAGGATTCACAAAAAATAAAAATAAATAATTATTTTACTTTATCATTTGACTAGAAATTTTAATATAAACATTGACAAGAATGTAAAACTTTTAAGGGAAAGAAGTTTCAAACTAAAGGAATAATTAAATGTCATGAATAGGCAATGAATATAATTTTTATTGTTCTGCTTATTTTTTCTAAGTTAGCTTGGACTTCTTTTTTCATTTTTAGAAAAGATACCATCAGAGTTTAGTTTGAAGAAAAGACAACAGATGTTTTATGTATAAGAAATGACTATATAATTCACAGGGAGAGAATAACCAACTTAAATAAAATAAGGCAAAATAGTTATTATATAAGATATTATCTTCAAAATTTTCTTTACTTTGGCAAACAAAATACTTAATACGTGATGTTTTATGGAGTACTTCTCAAACTTTACCATGCATAAGAAAACTTTGTATAACTTGTTAAAGCAGAATCCTGGGAATAACCCCAGAGATTTTGACTTTGTACTGAGTTGCATCCTTAGCATTTCTATCTTTAACAGTTCGTAGATTTTGGAGATTTTTCTAGGAAGTGGACCACACTTTAAGTAGAACTGCTTTAGGATTCAAATATTCAAAATACATAAGCAATAAGATATTAGCCCATAGATGACGGGCTCAGAGAAGATGTACATGGCGGTCCTCATACCTTTCTCTGAATCATTCTTTATCAATGAGCAGTAGTATGTTGATAATGAGTGAGACCTATTGTGCCCAGCTTCCCTCCAGGTATGACTTAGTCCCTTTGTTACAGAGCTTGTTTTTCTTTGAGGTTCTCTGTTCATTAGTTTGTTCTTCTAACTTGCCTGTTAATACTCTGGAACTGTTTTTCAAGTATAAGAGTGTTGAAACTAAGCTCTTTAGTAACAAGTATTCTTATCTGTCCTGAGCATCTAAGCATCGCAGGAGTTAATTAGTGCCTGTCACCTAGTAAGCATTCAGTAAAAATTAGTGGAATAAATAAATAAAACCTAAAATATAATTCACAGTACAAATTAGTTGGTCCTTATCTAAATGCCTCTTTTGTTTTCTACAATATCTTATTAAAGTTTTGTAACCTAACTCATTGATAATTATGACACATACAATCACTGATTTTTCTCATTTGTCTCCCCCATTAGAAAGTATTATTTGAAAATGAGCTGTGCTTTCTTCTTACCCCTAGATTCTAGCACCTTGCAAGTGATTGGTGTATTATATGACTGTGCTTGATAAATGTCTACAATATATGTTGAGTTACCTCTATAATTTTTATTTTAAAAGTTCCAAGCATATGTTCCTTTCAAAAGTTATTATCTTCTTTCTACTGATCTTTCATTCTCAGCTCGTATTCTCAACTCCAACTCTGATTCCTTCATTAATGCTCCCCCAACCTCCAGGCAACCATGTTATCCACTACTCTGTGTTTAAAGACCTAGCCAAATGTCATTACTTATTTATTTGTATTATTTGATTTTTTTTCCAGAGGAAAGCACAAATGCAGTCCCCCACTACCACAAATTATGCAGTCAAGTTTCCCACATTTGGGAAAATCACAGGGGTCAGCATTTCAGAGCGCAATGGATACACCTAGCCCTGGGAAAACCACCTTCTTGATCATGGTATGTTCCCTGCCCAGTAAGGGTAATATTATTTGATTTTTAAAACATCTCTCCTACCCTGTTAAAAATAAAAATGTGTCTGTTATGGCTTATTATTTTATTACATAATGTAATTTTTAAACAAAAATTAGTTGAAGCAATATATTAAATTTTAAAAGAATCTAATAATGTTAAATGAACTATTCAAGTGAGTAACAATGATAGGGTTATTTTTCAATAACATGATAGATTGTTGTGCTTTTCTTCAACTTTGTTCCCTGTTATTTATTTTCACTCAATTCACAGGCCAGTTTGCTATTTTTTTTTTTTTTTTTATCCTCACCTGAGGATATTTTTCCATATTTTGTACAGATAGAGTGGGAGGGAGAGAGAGGAAGGGAGAGAGAGAGAGAAACATCGACATGAAGGGACACATCGAGTGGCTGCCACCCGCACGACCAACCAGGGCCGGGGACAAACTGCAACCGAGGTACGTGCCCTTAGCGGGAACCGAACCCGGGTCTCTCCGGACCGCAGGCCGAAGCTCTAACCGCTGAGCCAAACCGGCCAGGGCCCAGTTTGCTATTTAATTTAGGATTGCTAATAGCTCTCTAAACAGTTTTGAGGTACCAGTGATAAAAGATTTACGCTGAAATTTTCAGCCAAATAGTCCAAACTGTAGAATAACAGCTAATTGCAGAAATGCTCTAAACAAAACAAAAATGAGTATAATTTATTAAATTGTATATCTGAAATAAGCCAAACATAATCATATCAAAGATTATTCAAGAAATCAATGGGCATAACTCTCTCAAGGGTCCAACATCAACAGGACAAACTGGGTAATGTAATATTATTGAAATTGATATTATAATATACTTGCCTGAAAGGAATTCACAACTTTGTCAAAGGCTAAAACAGTTAGATATAAAAAGGGATGATAGAATACAGCACAGAAATAATTTTAAGTAGTCACAAAATAAATAGTTATAGAAAAATATTTTAAATGATTATGAATTGGGATTTATAGTAACGAGAAAACTAAAAAATATATACCGTTAAATAAATAATACACATATATGTATATACAGATCTATCTATCTATATATGCATATATTTAAAATTATAGATATATATGTACATATATATGGAGAGAAACAGCAAGGGAGAAAGAGAAAGAGAATATGAACCAAGACTTGGCCATGAGAAATGCATGTAGCAATTTTAAATAAAGCATTTAATTGCAGAGCAGGTAAGAGAGAAGTTGAAGATGATGGGATAGAAAGATAAATGATAGTAAATGCGGAAGGAGTCCTAAATATCATTTAAAGGATCTTTGTAATTTTTCTAGAAAATAAGGAACGTTTTATGGAAGTCAGAGACCACAAAGTTGGTTGAAAGTCTGTTACAAGCACCTGTCACAGACACCATAGTGTTGTGATCAGATAGCCCCCACCCCAAGTCAAAGGGAGAGCTTCCCCACCTTCCTTCTTGTCCTCTTGTATAAACGAATTTAAATGAGAAAACTCCAGATGACTGTGTTGTGATAAAGCCAATTTATTAAAGCAATTAGAGCATGCACTTTTACTAAAAAGAAAAACAAATCTATGTGTCTGCCTTGTGAAGCACAGGCAGGCTATCAGCCAATCTGAGGTGTCATATACCTTCCTGTCTATAGGTTTCAAAATTACTCTGAAGAATATTTTGGTACAGATTAATCCTCAAGATCTCTTTTTACTTAGTTGTGGCCTTCCCAGATTTCGTGAGGAGCACCTGGCAATTTTTTCTCACCAAGCCTTGACATTGCTGGCTTCTCTGCTTAGGGAGTAAAAGAATAAAACTGCCATTTTTCCTGCTCTCCTTCACAAAAAGGGCTGATTTCTTTGTTTAGCAGGTGAGAAAGACTCTCCCTTCTCTCTTCCTTCCATGCATTCTCTTCTTTGGGAGACTTTTGCCCATTTGCTGTCAAGTGTCCTTGGTTTGGGGAAATAACAATGGCTTGTTATTTACAAGTTGGGTGCAGGCTGTCCAAACTGTTTGGCCTTGTTTAATAATCTTATCTCAGGTTCTCTATTCCTCTTGTCCTGGATTTTCCTAGCTTTTCACAGCCCTGTAACATGCTTGCTCAAATTTAAGCTTGTAAATTTCTCGGAATAGTCATAGGTATTAGTCTTGACATCAACTTCTTAGTTTACAAAACTGAGTATACTTTTTTGAGTCTATATGTCATATTTAGTTCTAAGTATAGAAGTATTTCTTAGTATTATTTAATATGTATGGTTCTATGAATTACTTTTATCAATTTCAGAGTATCTAACACTGCAGCTCCTATTCTAATTTTTCAGAAATGTTATTTTTTTTAATTTTTAGTTGAAAAAAATTAGATTTAAACATACTATGTGTTAAAAAATTCACATTTTTGCAAATTGATACTAGAACTGCAGAATACTATTATAACCTAAATGACAAGATAAATTTTTAAAAACTACCTCCATGAAGTATGTTATCATTTTGACACTCTCTTAACAGTAAATGTTATTTTAATGGGCACTTTGTTTAGCACCAACATTATCTCAAAAAGCAGCAAGCTGTGTAACCTTGATAAGACTTATGTGAGAGGAATACATGTGATTTTAAATAAATTAAACCTTGGGCCTCTCATGACTGCTTCAGTGATTACCCCTAAAAGATATGAGGACAAAATACTTCTAATTTTCAAGCACTTTCTGCTGTCAAAAATTTTGTAAGGAATAATGCGAGTGTGTTATCCTACAGTAAGATAACAGTTCTGCTGAAATCCTTAAAATAAAACCATCACTATTATTGCCAAAAAAAAATACTTGTCATGAAATTAAAATGACAAATTATACTCTTGTCCTGGCAACACTACATTAAAATATCTAAACAATAAAAAAATTAAAATAATATAGAATTTTGTCAGGATAGCAAAGAACTGATGCTAAACCTTTTAGGGAAGTGTACAAATGGGGAAAGGAACTAGATTAACAATTCTGGTTGAAAACCAAACATATATTTCTCTACTTCTCATAGGAGCTTTTTTGGCAAATTGTGAATGACAGTGTTTTATTGTTTGTTTGTTTTTAAATCTTCACCCGAGGACATTTTTGCATTTATTTTCAGATAGAGCAAGAGGGAGAGAGGGAGGAAAAGAGAGAGAAACATCTATGTGAGAGAGACATATCGACTGGCTGCCACCCACAGGACCCTAACCAGTGCTGGGGACAACTGCAACCGCAGTAAGTGCCCTTAGCGGAAACCGAACCTGGGTCTCTCTGGTCCACTGGCCAACGCTCTAACTGCTGAGCTAAACCAGCCAGGCAGATGACAGTGTTTTTAAGGAGCTCTTTATGCAAGTCACCTGTGTTTGCTATTCCTATGTTTTGTGTTGAGTGTGAGTGTATCTCAGGGTAACATATTATTGTTATGAAAAGTTTGTGAAAAAGTAAAATAATAAAATCAATGGGATAATTTATTTACAGATCAGGGAATAGGGATGTTGATACATTATTTAGATAAAATAGTTTAAATAAAATCAGGTAAGACACAGACTAAAATGTGCCATCAAAAAACAAACAGCCCTGGCCAGGTTGGCTCAGTGGTTAGAGCGTCAGCCTGCGGTCCAGAGGGACCAGGGATCGGTTCCCACTAAGGGCATGTACCTCGGTTGCAGTTTGTCCCCGGCCCTGGTTGGTCGAGTGGGTGGCAGCCACTCGATGTGTCCCTTTCACGTCGATGTTTCTCTCTCTCTCTCCGTTCCTCTCTCTCCCTCCCACTCTACCTGAACAAAAAATGGAAAAATGTCCTCGGGTGAGGATAAAACAAACAAACAAACAAACAAGCAAAACCTGGGCTTCCCCAGCAATGTAAAGTCTGGAAAAGTACAGATTGCCACAAAAAGAGGCGGGGTAGAGGCTGCAAATGAGTTCCCTGGTATTATCAGCAGCATTCTTCCTAAAAAATTAGGGGTCCATGAGCTCTGTTATCTAGTTGAGCCATCATTCAAGAGATCTCAAGAAATGAAAACTGGTTTGGAAAACATGTGCCTACAATACTTAGATATGCATTTAATAACTGCTTGGAGGGCATCCATTCACCAGGGACGATTATAATTCCTCAATCCCAGAATTCAAGGACATTGTCATGTCCTGCTACACTCTCTGTGGTCGCCATAATTTTTGCCCAATAATTCCATCCTCTATGTCATACAACACACACACACACACACACACACGCACACACACACATACACGCACGACAATTAGAAAGTTATTCTTTGTCAATCTCCATAATGTGAAGTTTCTGTGATTCTTAGAAGAATCCTGATAGAGTGGGACACTGAAAACATCATCTTATTCATTCTCTCATTATTAGAAGAGTTTACCTCCGTCATTCCAGACTCTAAGGCAATATTATATTTTCCTCTTTACTAAAATGAGTAATTTAAAAATAACACAAACCTATCTCTCTTTAGCTTTCCAATTTAAATAAATATCATTTGGGCCTTTACACATTTAAAATGATTTACAGATACAAACTGTATAATAATTTGGTCTCTATTTTAATTGACTATGAATCCTCCGTTCTAATATCTGTAGTGCATATTGTAAGTTGGTCCATAAGTAGAGGATTCAATTTCTCTCCATTTAAACAAATCACATTGACATACTTGCTGTAGGAGGTGACTTAAGTTTTGAGAATGCTACCAGTATACTTTTTGAATTAATATAAATTTAAACAATATTTTCCACTTAAGGTGAGGTAAAATAACTTGAAAGAATTTAAATTTAAATAATTTAAATGCTGAAAATGAAGAAATAAAATTGTTTACTATATAGTATTTTTTTTTTCTTTATTGATTTTTAGAGAGAAAGGAAGGGAGAGGGAGAGAGAGAGAAATATCAGAGAGAGAACATCAATTGGCCAACTCCTACATGCCCCCCACTGGGGATTGGGCCCACAACCTGGGCATGTGCCCCGACCGGGAATCTAACTGGCGACCTCATGGTGCATGGGTCGATGCTCAA